AATATTCGAAGTCGAGCAGGGCGCAACGGTGCCTGTTATTACTTCACATGCGTTCACAAATCGTAGCACTGACTCGGTGACATGATTTCTATTACGGAATAAACCTGCTCATTCGGCACATGAAAAGTACGGTTACTGTGGTGATCGCTGGTGAGCTGGAGTCCAAGTTTGAAAAATATTCACCGACGGGCTGCAACTTGGCAACTGACACAGTATAGGCCACAATAATGATGACCGTGAGCGGTTACTACACCTGCGTGAATGTGCTCGTTTATCTCTGCGCACGCACTATCTTACGACACAGCCTCTGCAGAAGAAAGTGCTAGTAAAAACATTATCTTTTGCCTGTGGAAAGAAAGGACATTACCAGAATGTTAGTCGTTCCCCATCCAACTTACTGCTTCAGCGCTAAATGTTTGTCTACCCTCTACCACGGGCGCAGCGGAGCCAAACGATCCCTTGCAGGAAGCCATCGATGTACTTATTAACAAAATTCCTGCAAAAGCTTTGATTAATACAGGAAGCACTGAGCTACGTTATCGCAGCAGTTTGTCAAGTGGTTCAAATGGAATGTCCTCGGTTCTCATTGCAAAATTTCGATGGCAAACACGCACTTAACAGTTTTTATCAGTGGTCGTTTTCTTGGTAATACGAAGTATTAAGACCATCCTAACAACGGCGTTAAACTGCCCGCACTCTCAAACCTTTGTTCTGATGTAACCTTGGAACACGATTTTCTTAAGCATCTTAGACTTGTCCAAATTCCATTCGTTGGTGAACAACCCTCTACTCTGTGTGCGCTATCGACCGTCAATGTTGACCCATTCTTGCTGTTTGGAAGCAAGGATTCCACCTATAAATTGATCGCTACAAATTGGAGGCATCACTCTGATGCGGACGCGAAGTTTGTTTGTGTGGAAATACAGGTTAGCACTAGTTGTCAGTCGTTTGTGGGCCACGCTTTGCGTCCTTGGAAGTCCTCCACGACTGGAATGGATCTACCCTTCCGCTGACACTTGGTAGTGACCAGTTCAGAAATTTCGGTACTTAAGCAACTATATTAGTGCCAGTGGGATAGCAGATAGGTTCACCAACCGTACAGTAAAATTCCAAGGCACGTTTGCTAACCTCCATCACCTGTGGTGTCGACGCGACAGCACGCTCGCAATGGAGAGCAGTTGATAATGCAGCCACCTGTTCTACCCGCTTGTACGGTTGTGAAACCTAGTCCATCACGTCGACGTTTGATTATCGCTGCTTTCGTAGCTTAGCTTATGTCTGTGGGAATAGCGCGTGAACAACGTGTTCGACTTCGTGTATTTGGTGAAGGAAGAGCGGGTGAACCGTTCAGCACGTATTGAGCTCCGAAGGTTGAGCCACGTGTTGCGCACGCCAACACACCGACTCCCGCGTCACGTGTTGGTTGCGTGACCGGGGTGCGACTGAAAGCACAGAAAGTCGAGGGAATGAAAGTCGGTGTCTGCCGTGCCGAGTTGGGGACCCACAGTCGAAGACTTTGGGCAGGATAGACTTAGACAAGACGAAAGCCAGCCTCAATGGTGTGTGTTGCTTTGTAGTCCCTCCTCCAACCATGATATAATGTCAAGTTTATAACATGATATTTAGTAACATATTACTTGCTTTTTAGTCTTTAATGTTTATTATATCCTCTTGTTTGTATTGTGGCAAACTAGCTGAGGTGTTTCTTATCCTTACCTGCCCTGTATTGATTCAGTGAGCAACCAAGCGCAGGAGTCGCAGTTTAACGAACTGTTTCAAGAGAAAGAAAATATCAGACCGAGACTGCCATCCACGCAAAGAGTTGGGCTAGCAGTTGGTGTAGTTGCATCAATATCTGTGCAAACACCTTTCGGGAAATACACATCGGGATATGCGAGCGCGTGTGCCGATACCACGAAGTTTGTAGCAGCCTGGAGATTTCCCCCATTTGCATGTGTAAAATGCTAAATAAAATTTATTTATTTAATGCTGAACTGTTAGTTGATTTCGATTGCTTGAGTAGAGCCATCGCTATCTTGCTCTTGGTACTGGGTCGTTTTCCGAACGGCGACCGCCTGGGTGCTGCGCACGGACTCCTCTAGCTAACAGCATCATTAGTGTAGAATTTGTAGCTGGGGCAACAGGGGACCACTTGTTGTACAAATAAAGCTTCCCTGCAACTCGATCTACGTTCTAAACCACTATCCGCGTTGTCGCCAAGTTCGTTCAGAATCAGAATCACAATTAGAAGAATAAGAGTACAATTTGTCATCTCCATCATAAGAGCAAAATTGACCAATGATGAACGTGGGTCTGTGTAACCTCACATCTATAGTTGTTTAGTAGCAAATAAACTACCAATAAGAAGCCAAAAGAAGCAGTAAGTTGTCTTGATCATTCATAGCAGCTAGCGCAGCCGTAACACCCAGGCGAGGAGAGGTCGAAGATGGCATTTGCATCAAACTAAAAAGCTGAAGTGTTTGTTGCTTTGTTTGAAACATTGTACCGAACGTGAAAGAACAAAATGACTGGGTAATGTGTTCTAATATAGTACTACGGATCGCGCAAAATAATGAACATATTCAAGTTCAAGTGGGACTAGAACAGCAGGAAATTTCCATGTATGTTCATTCGTGAAAGCGTCGTTGATCCAAGGTACATATTGACGGCAATCTGAGAGACCTAGAGCAACACGCACGTATCACACCATGGTCAACCATGCAATGTTCAGGGGACGCTCTAGCAGTCACTGCTACGCCGGCCACGTGAAGTAAAAGTGAAAAGTGACAAAAGGCGGAAATATAAAAGTAACAAGCGTAATACTAGTTAAGAGTAAAATTTGAGGTGAAATGGACGAATTGCAACTGCAGTCCAAGGGCATCGAGTTTATGTGTAAACTCCTTCACTATTTGTGATGACACCACGTCCTCCGGTAATGCAGTCCAGGAAGTAACTACTCTACATGACAGTCGAACGTTGACCAAACCGCCAACACGGTCCATACGCGGTATTTCCAGTATGCGTGCCCTAGAGTGATTATTACATTCACAATGGAGAACATATACTTCAGATGAGGAAGGTGTCAAAGACGAAGTATTATGAAAGTTGTGGTGTGAGCAATGCTTAATCTCTTGTTTACCAGTGTGGGAAGTCGCAATTTATGACACTTCCATTGGTAGGATAAGCAACGAAGCGTAGGAATTCGGGGAGGGGCTAAGGGTTGCATTTCCTCCAGTTGTTTCATCTCACCGCTTGTGCTGAGATAGCAGACAGGTGCATCATATTCTAACAGCGGACGCACCATGGCAACGTACAGCACGACAACAGTTTCCTCCGTCGCAACGAGACTATACATTAACGTAGTGCGACGGTTTGCATACTTCCTTGACCCATTGAGCTATACTGAGTGGTGCCTCCGAGCCCCTTGAGAGCTACTCTTACCAGGTTGGTCAATGGTTAGAGGTCAGACAAACTCAGTCCCCTAGTCCTCCAGGAGGGTGAGGTTCGTCGGGACCTGGGGCGGAATTCGGTTTCAAATGGAGTAGAAGTTTCAACACTATCTCAAGAGTGATTTCGACTTGATCCAGCAGCGGACAGTGCGTTGTCAGAACACCACTGGGTGGCGTGGACTCTACTGACTAGACCGATGAGTACTGCATGGCTAGTAGATGAGCTATTTCATCATCGCCATAGAGAACAACGTCTACGTCGTGAAGAGCTAGGGCAGGAATGCCACTAACTGCCTTGGTATTTCGCCTTAGTTACGAGAAGAGTTACTTAGGGCAATTGCGGGATTGAACAACCAGGCTAAATTCGTAATGACCTTGTTTATGGCGTTTACTCAGCGTACACTGGTTTTTGACTGCTTTGTACTTCCGGTAATCTGATTTAGCTTGGGTAGACTTGAATTGCTTCCAGTCTTGATCTGTTCATCAGGGATAATAGCTCGCGGTCGATCCAAGGACCTTCAGGGATGGTATACCTATGGAGCTGGGGACGACTTTCTCCATGACCGACATCGTCGAGCCCCAAGGAGTGGGGTATACTCCAGTCTGTAGTACTTGCCACTTTTTACAGCCTAGATGGAACAACATGCCAGCAGGTACGACGACGCCCCTTGGCCATGTATGACGAGACGACGTGTCCACAAAAATTAAACTGTGCAGTGGTCGCCTTGGCAAGTAGAAAGATGATTTTAAGCTCAATGGTGTAAGCCATCTGGTCCTGGTGGCTTGAAGCAATTTAGAGTAGCTAGCAATATCATTGCCACCGTTTGCGAAGATGATACGGTAGACAGTAGGGCATCGATTGGGGCCGGTGTTAAACAGTAATTCGAAATGTGAGACAAGTGCTATAGCTCAGGCTTTGTCGGTGGTCAACAGCTCATCAAGTAAATTTTCCACAGGTAATTCGTCAGTTAGCTGAAGCTTGTGTCTGATGTATTCAAATGCTTTCAAGTTAGACATAAAAGATAGAATTTCGTTGAAAACCAGAACTTATCTATAACTGTTGGCTAGGGAAATATAGCGCGCATATTCCAGGACCAAATGGATTAACCAAAAAGAAGCGCTGAAGCACTCCGCGAAACTAAAGAAGCCTTGTTTGCTTCAGTTCACAGATGAACCCCATCCGTGTTTGAATGCGTACAAGGACACTAGTAAAACACTGGCACAAGAATAACGGTTCAGAAGCACTAGCAGTGTGCGGATTAGGGCTACTGCAACATCGCTTGCGACTACGCAGAACCGAGCTGTGAACCTGTAGATCAGGGGTTGTACGTCTCATCCACTCGATCATCAAACGTAAAAGTTGTGACGAAACCATACATGCGCTCAAATTAGACCAGCTTGCAATGAAATGCAGTCAAGGGGCGAAGTGATACAGATGCCGGATAACTTTCATGAAAAGTTGCTCCAGTTAATGCAGCGACTATATCAACGATACACATAAAAATGAATAACGATAGCATCTGCGCTGAGAAGTGTACTTTATTGGCACAAACCGATTTGCTAGAACAAGTGTTTAAATACAGCGAGATCAAGCGCTTACAGTGGTTGTCATCACAGCAGAACAAGTAACAGACTATAGGTCATCAGTTTGTGGGAAACCCAGTTTTCTTCTAATGTTAGAAATATCCGCTGTCGTGATATTCTTTCCGTACATCTCCGCAACATATGTCTTTATATTGTCGCTGGGAATATTTAGCTGAAATAATGTGCTGCATTCATTCAGCTCAGCATCTGTTAGCCGACGCGTGACTGGATGACGCTCGAAGAAGTGACGGTTCAGAGGATGGTTGTGCTCAACCTCGAAAGATGAAACAACCAGAAAGTTATCTTTCTTTGTTATACTGAATCTAGCTGGACAACGAGTATCGTGCGAACTACGGCTGCAAAGAATTCTCGCAACTCACTTCACTCTCCTTAGGCCTGTACTAATGCTTTTGCGTTTCGCGTACCAAACACATCGATAAAATATCTAATAGTCAATGCGATAACTCAAAAGTAAAAACCTTCTCATATCGAAGAATAGGATTTGAAGAACGACTGCTAGTGCCTCGCACAAACGTCACATGGTTGGCTCTCATATACTTTTGTAATTCCTTTTCGAATTCCTCAAAAGAATAGAACGCACGGCCGCCAAAACACGCGACGAACACTTCCGTGGCGGACATAGCAGCCTGGCTGAAATAGCCGCCAGACGGATGTGATTAAAACGCTGTGCAAGGTAAAGCCAAACTCGGTCGCCAGCAAATGCATCTAAGTTCAGCGTCCACATTGAGAACGAAAGAGCAGAAAAGCAGTAAACGGACGGCCCACAACCCAACTAATGTGACCGTTGGCAAGGACTGTTCGTAGACCGCAAAGTCCCTTATTCGCCAACACTAAGATCCCACAACATCTAAATTTCTTAGTTGATATAGCATTATACTGCACGCTTGTTGCCTGACTGTGGAACTACTTGTGAGATCGTTCCTTTCTGGGTTGAAAAACGATGCGCGCAGTATAATGCGATGGATTTTATTTCAAGCATAGCAATAAAGAGTATGGATAAATGAACTAAATCCTACAGGCATCTTGCAAACTAAGTCTAATAAACCCCATGCATTTTTACGTTAACTCAGCAAACGTGCTCACAGTAATTACGCAAAGGACACGACAGGTTGTTTTAATGGGCTAATATTTGCAATTTTGGACCGATGGGTTCGCGGTCTGCGTTATCTTGTATCATGTTTGTAGCATGTCTGACCGTAGTCTCGTAGTGATTCCTAGGGTGAGGAGATCTTTGTACCTCACGTTGACGGCCATTGCTTCTTCCTCTTCTCTATGCCTTGTGATTTGATCATCCAGCCACCAACAAGGCGTTTGCTTTCCATTGCAGCTCCCTGTAGTAAACATGAACGATTCGCGCATTCAGTATTTTGAGACATCTGATTTTAGTAATAATCATAGCTTCCGACAGTCCATGAGTTTGACTGATTATGCTCACCGAGCACTTGCGCCTCTAATTAGTCCCAATGTATACTGCTGTCTGCTTACCTGTAGTTTTTGTCCATGCAAGTTAGATCCAAAACATCTAACTGTTCTCCCGACTTCCGTACTCAGAATGCCGCTTACGCATCCCCATTTGCGACTATCATCTCAGCAACACCTCACCATTGGAAACCCCGACGTTGCGCACGGTTGCACCATCGCCAAAAGCATGGTTGGTGGGCTCGTCCCTTTTCTCCATTGAATTGTGTTTTTGCAACCATAATTTCGTGTTATGCTATGGCTCACTCAAATACTAACATTTTAGGCTCATCCACTGATGTCGCATCGCAGTTTGTCTCCCTAGCCTATTGTATGACCATCTTTTTGGATTTGGTATGTTAGGGTATGAGTTCTGCGTAATAATACTAATTCCAACCGATCACAGTGGTCATTTGTTTGGTAGCCATCCTAGCGACTTAGCTTTGCCTCTCAGAGACATTTTCCATACTCAAATGCGGTTCATTCTTATGATTCTATTAAGCAAGGTATCGTTACCCGCCTGGAACAAACAGTGAGGACGCAAATCAACCAGATTTTCCAGAGCTTGTGTCGAGACGCGAGGCCATCAGCCCTATTGAGTGAGAGGAAGGGTCTCCTCGACTCGTACTCAATGGCTGACTCCATAATTCTGGAGCTTCCGCTTCAGAACCTTCCCGAGCTTGTTCCTTCAATCGTTATTTCCGCCAAGGTCGCTTCGCTCACTCTAGCCTCGCAACTGGCGGACGCGATTATAGAGCATCTTCCTTAGGAAGTAGATTAAGCAGCGTCACCCGCTGCATATCTGTCGAATAGACCTAGCACGTCTCAGCATCCTCCTACTTCATGCAGGTATGATGAAGCCCCATCCTCTGTGCTTGCATAGTACGTAACGAAGTGGAGACCTTGCACCGCGCTCTGGATACTTCTTCAGCACGCGATAACACACCAGTGCCTAAGATGAATTTGTTCAGTCCCCGCCGCCTACCAAGTAACCAATTGTGCTGTTAGGGCTGCCGATTTAGCACCTTGGAATAGGGATGTACCACGCCTTGCACCTTTTGTTTGTTTCAGTAAGGGAGTCTTCTTGGCTACAGATTACGCACCATTGGTGTTACTGCTCAAACCACACGCAGTAACAACATGTACAGTTATTACTGCCAAGCTAGCACCACGTTCTTGATTGATAGCTCGGCTGAAGTACGCGTGGTTCCGCCCGCATCAGGGGAGACTTTTCGGCCGTCTACTCTCAGTAAACATGCCTGCAACCGCACACTCATCCCTTCTCACCCGCAGAGCTCTTTACCCAGTAACTTAGCTCCTTGTGGAACATTTAGTTCGGTGTTCATTATAATCAACTTTCTGTTTGCCACCATCAGCATAGCATTCATTAGCCGCTTGACATCTTTGTGGATGCGAAATGAATGAGCATATTTGACTCCGCAACGACGCTCTGCTGCACGGACACTAACGCTGGCATCCCAGCCGACACACCTCTTCCAGGTACGTTGAAGTTTCTCTTACTAACCTAAGCTCGTTCAGTCAATAACTGTGGCGTTGCGCACGGCAACTCGTATCACGTAGTATATCCGAAAGATCGGGCCATCCGACTCATCACTCCCACACCGTATTTCGCAGGAGAAGCTCAAGCAAGCTAGGGCGGCGTCTCAGCATATATTATAACTAGGAATAATCCGTCCTTCATATAGTTCCTGCGTCGCTCCACCCCAAATGTTCGCGAATGCCGCTGGAGACTGGCATCCACGCGCTGCCTACCGGGCGGTGAATAAACTTATGGTCCCATCAGGTACCCTACCTCCAACTGCAGGACCTTACTGCATGCTTACAGATAAACCGGTCTGTAGCAAAATCGATCGCCTGCGTGCATATCCTCAGGCACCTGTCGGAGAAAGCAAAATGCTTAGAACAGCCGTCAGCACTCCCTTCGGCCTATTCGAAATTGTGCGACTGCGTTTTGGACTGTGCATTAGCGAACCGATTTTTCATCGCTTCATCCACCAAGTTACTCTTGGGCGAGACGTTGCTCACCTTTGCCTTGATGTCGTTCCTATTGCCCTATCACCGGAAGAAGACCTCATCTTTCACCTTCAATTATTCCTTCAGCTGCTGTCCCAACGTATCGTCATCGTTAACCCGACTAAATGCGAACTTGGCAAGTCTGCCGTAAAAGTCATACGCCACCTCATCTCGTTTGTTAGCGTGATCCTTTGGATAAGGTCCAAGCTATTAACGCTTTCTTGAATTTGCCTTCATTTAGAGGCCTCCGTCAAGTTTTTGATCCAGCCCACTTCTATGGACGCTTCATCTTCCGCTGCTATCAATTTATGCAGCCCCTGAATGATGTTTCCAGCAGAAACCAGCAAAAGTTCGCTGTTCCCAAAGAGATTCAAACGGGTTTCACCGAGCGCACCGAGCTATCTCCAAGCTAGTTCTCATCGCTCAAACCAAACCGTTTACTCCTCTTCCTCTTACAACAGGCGCTTCAGTCATTGTTGTAGTAACTGCTCCCCAACAACGCGTTGGTGGGCAGTGGCATCCACACGGTTTCTTATCCAAGCACATGGAACCAGGGGAATCTCATACCGGAACGTTTGGTAGGGAAAAGCTTGCTATCTACTAAGGTACCCGCCACTTCCAACACATATTACAATGTCGGGCTTTCGCGGTCTAAACGGACCACAAGACTCTTATTTTGCCTTCAACCCGTGTGACAAATATCCTGCACGGGAAACTAGACAACTAGACTTTGTCACGCAGTACACTTGTGACATACGCAATGTCTCAGGTTTCGCCAACACCGCTGTTGACGTGTTCTCACGCGTCAACTCCATACTTCACTCTTTGTCTAATATCGACCTCGCCACCATGACATCGGCTGAAGCTTAAAATGAAGACATCCAACGCACTTGACAGTCCACGTCACTGCATTTGCGAACCGTTTCACTCCAAGTTACAGACGGAGCTATCCTTTGTAATGATTTCACAGGTTATTCTAGGCCCCTCCTGCCCGCCTCTTTCGGACGCAGCCTTCGACACCCTTTGCACACCGTCTTATTCTGGTATTCGGTAAACTTTAAAACCGGTCCCCTAACTTTCCGTTTGGCCAAGTGTAAACATGTATGTTCGTGTCTGGATTCGAGATCGCACCGCCATCGCTCTAAGGCACATGGACACACACTTAGTCCTCTCGGCTCATTCTACTTCAGCTTCGCGGTGTTCGTATGTGCACTTTGACCTGGTATGGATTATTGCCTTCTTCTCGCGGTTCCATATACCTGCTGTTATGAAGCGACCGCTTCACTAGATGGCCAAAAGCCATCCCGAGATCGCACTGCATGGCTGAAAAAGTACTACGTGCATATTTAGTACATTGGGAGTCCCACTACGGATGTTCATATATCATCACTACCGACCGTGGAACGCCCATCCGGTCTCAGCAATTCGATACCTTCTGAAACTTCTACGGCTGCCGTTTATTCGAAAGGCTTCATCGACATCTGGTATACATGTGCCTTTTGCTATTGGCAACATTAGTAGACAGGCATAATGAAAATCATATCCTCTTCTTTAACTGCTTTTGGTCGTAAAACACTCGCATTTCCAGATTTCATTTCGCTGGCACGAAAGCTAACCAATGACAGAGAGGCCCCTGTCACACCGGCTGGCTGGAGCACCAGAAACTTTCCATCACCACTTTTCTTCTCTTGGCCACCCGTGTGTCATTTATCATTTAGCTGGCTCCAAAGCCTACCATGCGTTATGCGTAATGGCGGGTGAACGACCAGCTCCCACTGGTTTTGTTACTATTCTACTCCTGATTTACCTTATCGCTCTTTGCTTAGGGTGCTAGAACAGCTCTTGCCAGGAAAATCACAAAAGAAATAGTCGGTTTGACATTAGAGTGCCAGTTAACATTGCCATCTGGATGAACACCGCCGGCACTATCTTTGGAACTTAAAAATGGAGAGAAATAAAGCGAAATTCATCAAAGAGCTGCACGATAGTGTGCACCTACACATGAGGTATAACATTACCTCAAGTATAAGCAAGCTCAACCACCAGAAGTAGAGTTGTTAAAGCCCAACCAATGTAGACCAAAACGGATTTCACGCCCAAATGCAATTAGCTAAATTTTACTAAATTTTCCCATGCTCATTTCTTTATTATTAGTGACAGGCTCCTATAGCTCACTGATGTTAGAGACAGAGCCTCATTAATATAGAAAATCGGCTCTAAGGGATAAATCTTGTGATGTTTAGCTAAGTAATGTGTGTATTTTGCAGGCCGAAATCTGTCAACGGATCTGAAAGATCCCCTGGGTTACTTAGGTAGACCTGGTTCATGCGGGCTTGTTGTAAGCTTTAGAAAAGCTTAGAGGCTTAAAAGATGCTAAATTCTATTTTACTAGTTGTTTATGTGGCTCAGTATCCCC